GTTTTGAAATGAACAGGTACAAATTCAACATTGTTGACATGCTGTTTTCAAAGACTACTGCTAATAGACATTTGACGGTATCCGAAGCAATAGCTTGGTGAAACCTATGAATAACTTTTTCAATAAAAAAAAAAAATAATACAATTGTAATGCTATTATAGTATTAACAAAGACTGAAAGTCAAAATTTTGTGGTATAACTACCAAATATAGTTACCAAATTCAGTACATATCACTGTATTTTTTTATGTTTAATAACTTTGTTCACATGTGTTTGGTTTCAAACTAGCTTGAATAATAATTCGTATAGGTAAACTTTAAGTTCAAGTATTTTAAAAATGCAAAAACTTGCATATTTGTTAAATTAATTCTTTTAAGTTTAAAAATATGCCAATACTACGGTTTTATTGTAAACTATAATTTTTAATATTTGATATTACTAATATAAATCATTTATATACTTAAATATATTTCATGAATAAATATTAAATCGTTTATTACATACCTCTTTGTCCTTCTTCTTTTCTTTTTTTAATTTCCGCAATAATTCCTTATTAAGAGAAGAATCGAGGTTTTCAAAAACAGTTTTTTGCAATTTTGGTACATTTTTTTCACTGCGTTGTTCTTTATTCTTATATTTTTCTTTTTTATCTTTTTTTTTTTTCATTTTATCCTTAATTTTTTTCAATTTTTTATGTTTCTTTTGTAAAAACGTACTTGCTCCCGGAGCAACCCCTGCCATATTGACAGTTGAATGAAAAGAACTTGCAGAAGGTATTATTGTAACATCATCAAATATATTTGTATTATCCACAGGTTTTGGTTTTGCAGAAAATGTTGATGGCGTAATTGTTGCTGTAAGACTGGTGGCAGGAATAGTTTTAGCTGAGTATGCCAAACCGGTGCCAACTGATAGAGGAATTAAGTCCGCACCTCCTGCTAACTTGCCCACTGGACTCGATGCTTCACAATGGGCGAATAAACTCAAATTATTAGGAAAATTTGGAGAAGGTATTGTTGTAGTTGTCGTAGATGACGTAGACTCTGTAATTGAGCACAACAAGCCACTTTTTTTATTTTTAACACTTTTCCTTTTTTTTGTTAATCGTTTTGTTAAATATAATTCATTATTTGCCATATCAATATTTTGATTTTTTGTTAAAAAGTCATCTATATGAATATCCTTAACGTTAGTACTTGGTACTTTGTGGAAAGTGTTATCAATATTTGAAGCATATACAGGATTCGTACTGATATTGGAATTAGTTTGTGGAGCATCAGTGGAATCATCCGAAACTTCAATAGGCTCATCATTACTGCAATTAAAACGTGCATTATACATTTGATTTTTATTACAAGCCTGTTTGTCAATATTTAATGTAGTGTTTATATTTGAATTGACTAAGGTCCCTTTAAATAATTCTTTTTCATTATTTGGATTTTCAGTTATATGTTTTTTATTTTCCAAATCACATTTCGGACCTAAGCCAAATTGTAGAGTCATCTCATTACTACAGGCTGTTTCTTTACGATTGTCATTTACTGGAATTTTTATGTTTGTATTTGAAGTATCTGTAGGTAAATCTGATAAAGCAAACCCATCCATTTTTTGGAAATTTTTTGAAAACTCATCTAAATTAGAAAAGTTTGATATAGATTTTGCAACTTTTACTGATTTTTCCGTTTTTAAACTGTCTCGATCATCTATTCCTTTCTCTTGAATACTCGTATTATCTCGAATTAAAGACATTTTAATGTTTTCAGTGACAAGTGGTGCAACATTGCAATAACTGAATTCGATTTGTTTTGATATGTTATCTCCGTTAACCTCAATATCTGGGAAAATTAAAAAAATTACGTTTTACATTTTAATATGTATAAGATAATAAAATTTATTTGTAATTGTTGTAAAATATTTCAAAAAAATAATATATAAGTTTATTTCTTTCAATAAATTAGCGGTATCGAAAACACAGTTTAAACTTTTGAGCCACCAGTTCAAAACGCAGTTTGGACTTTATTCATCTCGAAAATGGTAAAGTACGAGCGATTACAAAAGAAATTAAAAACTAACAACAAAAATTACAAAAAAAAAAAAACAAAGTTAATAAAAAGCTAAAAACACTAAAATCATTAAAAAAAACACAAAATACTCCAAATGAACAAATTCAAATTTAAATCATTTTTTGAAACATCGGGTTAGCTTTTTTTTTTCTTATTTCTAACTTTACGAAGGCTCAGGCTATAAGAGCATTTTAGTCCAAACAAATATAAACCTCCTGGATCCGATCTTATCACCGCAAAGGCTCTTCAAGAAGTTCCACATGTCGATTATCAATATATTACCAGCTATACACAACTCAATAAACCGATTGTATTATTTTCCCTTATAATTATAATGACGCACAGCCCGGAAAAACCACCCGAAGAAAATTTAGTAAAGACCAAAAAACCTTCTGTCGTTAATCATCAAAGTACACGAGAAACTGTTTTTGTTTGTAATTGAAACAGATCATTAAGAAGAATAATCTTATCCCAATCCAACAAATTGGTATCAGACACTTTTTCGCTCATTTTAATACAGACTAAAAAATTGTATGAAGTTAAAGCTGGGGTACATCGAGGTAGTTTTTTAGGTCCCGTCCTGTACACAGACTTTATTGGTAAATTTGCGAAAGCAATGAATATACCAATTGCAACTTTTGCCAATGACAAACATTTACTTGTGAGTCGCAAAAATGTAGAATTACCTTCAAACGGTTTTTGTAAACTACAAAATTGATTTAAGAGATGAAAATATAAGTGAATATCGGTAAAAACAACCTGTTAAACGAAAAACACATATTCTGAGATGATGGCGCTAAATACCTTGCCATACAATTAGATGGTGCCTAAACATGCACATATTTACCAACAAAAAAAAAAATAAATTAGTCTTTATTTTACAAAAATGCAAAAGTTAAGAAGCTGATATTCAAAACTTTTGCTTTGCAAGAAAGTCATTGTTTATAAAGTAATTGTAAAACCCCTATGGCTTTATGGTATTTAATTGTGGAGCTCAGCCACCAAATCAAAAATTGCGATTGTTCAGTTATAGCTTGTCAAATTAGAAGCTAAGAGGCAAAGTTAATTATCCAACTAGTCCAAAGTCGTATCCAATACACATTTGTGTCTATAGAAACTGCACTATTTATTCTATTACTACGTTATGTACCGTAAAATAACATAAATTTCAGCTTTTGTTTAATATCTAATACATTGACAACATAAAAAACTTACAGAGTCATAACAATCTTTAGTGAATAATGGCAAATTCGAAATCAAGAAAAACAGTTATAGTAAAAACATAGTAAAAACTATAGGTCTTGTATTTGAGTAATAAAAACCCTAATTATTTGTAAACTAGTGATATCAATATGGAAAACTTTGTTTAAATTGTTATGGTTTAACGACAATAAGATAAAACAAATAGATTTTAGAGATTTTGATAATTACTGAAGGTCAAGTTTTTGTGTTTATTACCAGATTTCATCCAGCTGGAACTAGGAAACTAGGAATATTTTTGTAAAAAGAGTCTCACAGTAAATGGACGAAAAAATAAACTCGCTTTGGTACATCAAGAATTTATATACTTGTATAAATTTAGGTACGACATTATTTCAATGTAATTCATTCCATTTCAATGCCATTGAAATAAGATTATTATTTGCTACAATGAATACTTCACTTGTGTTATTACAATAATGAATTAAATCAATATTTGATTAAGCCTTTTGTAACTGAATAACCAATTACTTATAATTTTATAACCTATTAATAATTACATGACTATATTTTATATAAAAAATATTTGTAAATGAAAAACTTTCACTACATTTTATAAAAGTAAATAATGGCGAGTAATTTTTAACTAAAAAAGAAATATGTACAAATCCCATCATTTTAAAAAAATGTAAATAATTACCTTCGTCTGTTGATTTTACCGCAGAATACTGATTTGATCTTACATTTGTTAAAGGCATAAATCCTGGTAAAAATCCTGAAGATGAAGGCGCAGATAAAGAGCTATTGCAGGCACCAGCTAAAGATTGTGACGGAAATAATCCTGGTGTTGGTATTAAACCAGGTCTTGGAGGAAATGCATACAAAGGTAACAT